TGTTGTTGTTTTTCCGGTACTGGGTATTGAACCCAGGTGTGCTTTACCACTGAGTTACATTCCCAGCCCTTTTTATTCTTTGAGACAGTCTCACTAATTTGCTTAGGGCCCAGCTCAATTGTTGAGTCTGGTCTTGAACTTGAAATCCGCCTGCCCCAGCCTCCCAAGCTGATGATCCCTTATTATCCACTAGGCATGCACAACCACTCCTGGCTGTGCTAATTTTTTTTAATTAATTAATTAATTTGTTCTGATTTGTTACACATGACAACAGAATGCATTTAGTTCATAGTACACAAATGGAGCACAATTTTTCATTTCTCTGGTTGTACACAAAGTAGAGTCACACCATCCATGTCTTCATACATGTACCTAGGGTAATGATGTCCATCTCATTCCACCATCTTTCCTATCCCAATACCCCCTCCCTTCTTCTCTCTCCTGTTTGCCCTAGCCAAAGTTTGTCCTAATGTTTTGATACTGTAAAATGAAATATATCAGTAATTGTAAGAGCTGCATAACTCCATGAACCAATATTTTCTAAATGATCAATCTAGAATAATAAAAAATGATGCAAAATTGAAAACTCATTGAAAAGTGCAAGATAAGCCAGTAGATTTTACTGGGTGGCATACAAAAGTATATCCATTTGACCATAGATTACAACTGCAACTAACTTTTGAGAAATTATCATTTTTAAGAAATTACAATTTCTAAACCGGGCACAGTGGCACACACCTGTAATCCCAGTAGCTTGGGAGGTTGAGATAGGAAGATTGAGAGTTCAGAGCCAGCCTCAGCAATTTAGGCACTAAGCAACTCAGTGAGATCCTGTCTCTAAATAAAATACAAAATAGGGCTGGGGATGTGGCTCAGTGGTGGAATGCCCCTAAGTTCAGTTCCCAGTACAAAAAAAAAAAAAAAAATACCATTGTCAGCTATCAACAAAGTATTAAAAACAATATCTGTTTTTACCTGAAATGCTATCCAGATATACTTTCTTTTTCCAACTACTTATCTTTGCAAAGTTAGACTTCCTCCTATCCTTGAACCAAGGTAATACATCACAACAGATTAGGTACAGAAGCATATGAGAAATCAGTTAAACTAGACATTAGATATTTGCAAATAAAGAATGTAAACCAACACCCATATTTTTGCTAAACTGTCTTTTATTTTTTTAAATATTTATTTAGTTGTAATGGACATGATATTTTTTATTATTTATTTCTGTGTGGTGCTAGGGAACAAACCCAGCCCCTCACAAGTGCGAGGCAAGCGCTCTACCACTGAGCTAGAATCCCAGCCCTAAACTTTCTTTTACTTTGTCAAATATAGTCATTGTTCAGGAAAAAAAAAATTATGTTAACATGTAATGGGCTTATTCTTTTTAATGACTAATAAATATATGGTTTTAGATTTTCCCACTTTGAATTTCTAGTAAGGCAAATACTGGTCAATGGAAAGCTTGCAAGATAAAGGTCTTTGGGGTCCTCAGTGAAAATGGTCCTTTCACCCAAAACTTTGAGAACTGCCGCATGAAGAATTGAAAGTTTCTTGTTTACTATACTGGTCTGTTCAAACAGGCGCTCAGCCAAGTGCAGGTACCCAAAGGATTATGTAAAAAAAACAAGAAATTAGCCAGTTTTGGAGACAGGCATATATATCAGGGGACAAGACAGCATTGAAATTGCTGAGATTCCATATGGAGGATCATTCTCTGGAAATTCCTGCCGGTTTCTGGAGAATCCTTTCTGAGACCACTGCACTCCACCCCCAGATAGAAGGATCAGTAACTTGAAAGCTGTCTCTAATTGTTGCTTTTCCTTTTATTGATAATATTATACTTTCAGAGGAGTCGGAATGGCTTCCTATGAGAGAGAGAGAGAGAGAGAGAGAGAGAGAGAGAGAGAGAGAGAGAGAGAGAGACTGACTTTGCCAATTCAACTTTTACCTAAATAATGATTTGGAGTACACTCAGCTATTTGCAGAGAAGAACCATTTTTAGAAGAATATAAAGGTTATAATGTCTCTTAGGTGAAATCCATAATGAAGAATCCTTTTTAATTTCATCTGCTGGCTGTATTGTTGAGTTGATCTTCAAAAAGCCTGGTGTTGCTAAAAGGGGAAAAAAAAAGAATCGATGACTTAATTTCTAAATTTAAAATCTGTCAGTTAAATGAATCACAATGAAATGGTCTGATTTTTAAATGAAGTCCCCATCAGCAGTCTCCTGGCATCCCTCCCAGCTAAGCAAGCAGCTCCCACTTGAGTCTCCGGGAAGATGCCTGCCTCTCTGGCTCTCATTATTCAGATGCTAAGACATTAGGGTAAGTGCACAAGTGGCCTCAGAAGGGTCATTGTGATTCAACCTAGTTAAACAGTTTATAGTTCTGGAGACTCCATCACCAGTGAATGAACTGGAGAAATGGGGAGACTAAGGCAAAGGCAACTTGGTTCCTTGTCCTTGGGAATGTGTTTAAACGATCCAGAGATGAAGCAGTTGTGTTATAATGTTATGGTGGTTGGATGTGTGTGTTTCCGGTCACTATACCTACCATGTCCCTGATGCCCTGATAGTTTCACCCCTCTTACTGACTTAGCCTCCTTTTTTCTCTCTTTTTTCTGTGTTAAATCATTTTTTCTTTAATTCCTTCCAATTTTTACTAGCTAAGTCAGAGCCCTTATAACTCTACATTTGCCACTATCTAGGGGAATACTTTGCAGTCTCATCTACCTAAGCAATGGGTCCTCCTGTCTAGCCCCTCTTCAACCTCCCCTACACAGCCTGACTCACCCCTGCTGGTCCAGGGGACCGGCCTACAGGCATAGCTTCGGTCAGCCTGGCCTACCGGTCCTGCTTGGCTGACCTGTCCCTTTCATTTCAGGTCATTAAAAAAAAAAAAAATCTGGAAATAGCTGTTGGAAATAAAACAACCTGAATACATTTTAAGTACTTTTCTAATAAGTTTATGAAGTAACTGATCTATTGCTCTATGTTTAGCTTTAAACATCTTCCTGACACTGAAGAAATAAGACCATAGCAAATGAGAATAAAATTATTTGCTTTCTGTTCAACATCTTCATCCACTTTTGAACTGACTTTGCAAAATAAAAATTAGCATCTTTTTTTCTTTTTTCTTTCTTTCTTCCTTTTTCTTTTTTTTAGTTGTACATGGACACAATATCTTTATTTATTTATGTTTATGTGGTGCTGAGGATCAAACCCAGTGTCTCACATGTGCAAGGCAGACGCTCTACCTCTGAGCTACAGCCCCAGCCCCAGCCCCAGCCCCAGCCCCCCAAATTAGCATCTTGACACAGGGTTTTTCACTTAAAAAAAAATCCTAAACTTAAAATATAGCATGTTGTACAATAACTTTTTTTTTTTTTTTTGGTACCGGGTTTGGAACCCAGGGGCACTTAACCACTGAGTCATATCCTCAACCCTTTTTTATATTTTATTTTGAGACAGGGTCTCGATAAATTGCTTAGGGCCTCACTAGGTTGTTGAGGCTGGGTTTGAACTGGTAATCCTCCTGCCTCAGCCTCCTGAGCTGCTAGGACTACAGGCGTGCCCCACTGTACTGTACCTGTCCGAATAATTGGTTTTTCTTAAGAAAACATACACTTTGCTAATTACAGTATTTTTATTTTCAGGGAGATTCTAATAGAAAGTGTCTTTCTTCATTTGTTTCACTACAATTTTCAGAGACTCTAATTTGAATGCAATCGAATTGAAAGAATTTTAAAACTTCCCTCTTAGGTAATGTTCAGATTTGATGCTGTTTTCTTCAAGCTCTTCTGTAAGAATATGCAAGTGCCTGTGGCTATCAGTCGCTCTACTGCCGGGGTGTCTACTGGGTGCTAGAGCACATTGCCCTGGCCTGCCCCTTCCAAACAAAAGTTTTCCTGCAAAAATTGCCCTCCCCCCAAGGCTGCTGTCTTGCTCAATTTCATGTCCCCACCTTGGAGGCAGCCCCAGTGCAATGGCTGCTGTGGGTGAAGTACGAAGTCCTGGCCCCTTCCCTCAAGACAGGCCTAGGCTAAGAAGCCCTTCCGGCTCCAGAGCTCCCTGGAGCCTGGGTCAAAGCCCAGCCATGCCTACATCACACCCCGTGCTTACCCCTGTTGTGCCAGCCGCCTTCACATCATCACACCTGTTCCCAGGAGTGTTCCCAATAAATCCCCTGCACCCAACCATCCATCTCAGGTTCTGCTGCCCAAAGGATGCTCCTGAGACAATAGTTTTGAGAACCTGTTGCCAATTTTAGAGCTTTCCTGGGGGAAAATGTCAAACCCTCTGCTTGAAGACCTTGTCTTCGTGATTACTTATAGAGCCAGCATTAGCTAGAATCGTCTCATTGGAAAAGCTTCCCCAAACACAGCTGCACCCCTTCCTGTAGGCCTCAATTTATCCCCCACTACAAGACCTTTGGAATCAAAACACTTATAAGCCTTGTTTCTCCTCTTCCAGAAAGGTGGAAATATGCAGGAGAAATCAGCGTGTCTTTCAGAGGGTCACAGACCCCCCACACCCTAGGAAAATAAATGCATAACCATACTCAATTTTGAGCATAATGAACTATCCCAAGAAGAAGGGCCATGATATCAGAAGCTGTTGATTTATATTGAAAGTAATCAGAACTTTTAGTCTCAAATCCATTGTTCTCAGTATAGGAAACCAAAAGAAGGTTTAAAAAAAAAAGTACATAAAAAATGCCCTAATTCTCAGCCGGAAACAGTGGCACAGGCTTATAATCCTAGTGGCTTGGGAGGCTGAGGCTCGAGGATCTCAAGTTCAAAGCCGGCCTCAGCAAAAGCAAGGCGCTAAGCAACTCAGTGAGACCTTGTCTCTAAATAAAATACAAAATAGGGCTGGGGATGTGGCTCAGTGGTGGGGTGCCCCTGAGTTCAATCCCTGGTACCCTCTCCTCCAAAAAAAGTCCTAAATCTCCATATGATTTCATCCATAGATTTTGAATAACTCAATAGCCAACTCAACTTACATTTTCCAGAGTGATACTCGCAATATTTGAATTTGGCCTTTGGCGATATCTCCTCCGGGTACAGTAAACACTGATGAGGGTGACTATCAGCATCAGGACAAACACAGCAGCGGTGGAAGAAACAGCAATGACAATGGTGTCACGGGTTGAACCTCTCTTCTCACACCTTTCTCCCATGTACCACCAGTCTTCCCCAGAAGGACACCTATACATGGTGAAGTGACTTGGAGTTATGCATTGATATTTTACTGTGGAAATCCTCCCCATGAAATCTGTTGATCACCTTTAGTCTATTCGATCACCAATAAGTCACTGACATATGAACTACTTCACCCACTCTGGACTTAGACTGGCACCAGGAGACCAGACAGGAACAATGAAAAGGAAAAATGGAATCATTCCTAATTCAGTAGAAAAACAGCAGCTGAGATGCAGCAAAGGGAGGGAGCACAACCAATAAAGAAAGTTTGGCTCTTCAACTTCTAGTTTTACACCTTGGTCAAGGTCTTCTCAGAACTTTAGTATCCTCATCTAGAAAATGGGGATAAACATACTTAAAAGGACCAGACTGGCAAAAGGAGTTGACAAGCGAGGACTTAACAAGTAACTTGTAAAGAGTCTTTTTCTTTTTCTTTCTTTTTTTTTTTTAAGGCAACTTGAATGTAATGTGTCATATTTTTTTCATTTTAAAAGATTTTTAATTTTTTTCCCCATGATACTGGAGATGGAACCCACAGCCTTGAGCATGCTAAGCATTCATTCTTTTTTAAAAAACATTTTTCTTGATTCTTTTTAGTTACATATATTGATAGGATTCATTTTGACATAATCATAAAAGCATGGAATATAATTTGTTGGGTTTTTTTTTCATTAAAAGTTTTATTGTCCTTATAGGTATCTGAAGTCCCAAATGGAATACAAAAACACTGAATATTCTGTGAGTGGTTTTGAGAGGAGAATTGACAAATTTAATTCATATGAACTATCAGCATTGAATACCTACGTTCTAACAATAAGAAAGGGCCCTCTCCCAAGTGCCCCCTTACCAGCACTCGGCCTTGCCATTCTGGACGGAGCACATGCCACCATTTTCACATACGACGACTGAGCAGAGATCATTGGGATCAGAGGTTGGGTTACTCTGATCTGGGTTACTCTGATCTGGTATTTGAGCGAGGTCAGATCGGTCTAAGAGGGAAACAGGAGAGAGAAACGGTGATCAGCATGTGCCTGAGTAATCCTTTGGCCCTTAAGTCTCAAAATAGATGTTCAGGCTTCAGCCTTGTGAGGAATTTAGATAATGTGATGCATGGTCCAGCAACATTCAGAGGCCGTGAAATCAGGAATCAACAGAGGCAGGGCTCTTGGAGCTGAGCTCTGAGGGACTCAAACCCTTGTCACCAACCCACTAAAGACAGGTGAGAAAACCGAAGCTCAGAAATGGAAAGTGGTTAAGGACCTGGCCCGAGGTCAGGGTCTCCCGCTTGGTAGAGTAAGAGGAAGAGACTTCAAGCAAGGTACCGTGCCCTGGTAGCCTGTGCCATGTTCTTTACACTGTAATTTGTTCTCTCACTGTAATGTAACTTCTTTTTCTCTGTACCCTAAAATGTCTTCTCTTTACTAGTGTTTTTTTCTCAATAATTTTTTCCAAAAAAATATCATCTAGATTTATTCTAGTGAACACTGTGGTTTGAATTTCACGGGTTCTAGTTGTACCACCTCTCGTTGCAATGCGGTCTGATTTACTGAGACACAAGTGAATCTTTCAGAGTAGATGAGTTACAATCGTACTACATCAAACATGGAAACCACCTGCATTGCTGGAAAATGTATTTATTGATTGCCATGGATAAAAAATTTAACAGACAATTAACTAACATGATTACTGCCAGGATATAGGTGTGTACATGTTTTCATGTATGCGTGTGCATGTGTGTATCAGATAATAGCTTGGTTTGTTTACAGATGAATTTCATGTGCTTGTCTATTTTTATTTTATAAATTATAGAGTATAATCCTAGGGACTATTATCTGTATCCTAACTTATTTCTAAAGAAATCATCCAATCTAAAGCTTTCTACTATTGTTCCATGGGATAGTAATTAAATTCTATACCCTAGAACTTTTGTTGTTTCAAATTTAATAATTTTCATGTTGTTAATGATTCGTACCCCCCCAAAAAAAAACCTCATTTGTACCCATTTCCTCCTACATCCTATAATATGCCTAAAAATGAAACCAGAAGAACATCAGAAATAGCCCATGGCCATAACACACACACACACAAAAATTAACTTAAATAAAACTACTTTTACTGGCATACCATTCGTGGTCAGTAGGATATAAACATCATTTCCTTTTATGAACTCTCTGCTGTGCAGCCTGCTCTGGCTTATGAAGACACTGCTCCCATAGCCTTTGTTCATCATATACTCAGTTCCATTAGGGTAAACAGTCTGTGTTCCCACTTTAGAAGGCCTGTCCCAAAAATACTTTGTATCATCTGAAAAAGCAATTTATATTAATGGATTGTATTTAGCATCAGCATGGCTTTTGGTGGTAGGAAAGAACAGGCAATGTGAATCACAAATCAGGATGGGCCCCAAATAATCCAATGATGCTGTTGACCTGTGATGTATTCCCTGGCAAGCCACTGGAGCCTATTCATTTATACTGTCCTAAAGGAAATAAGATTGTCTGGCAGGAAGGGCCCTGCTTAGAGTAGAGAGGACCCAAAGTCCCCTAGGTGAGGATAACACACCTTTGCTTACTAACTGGTACAGAAACCCTTCTGACACTTAGAACCATGCCCCAGTGGCCTTCTGAGTTACAGATCATCCTTTTAAATTGAGTTAAAGCAATAGGTTGCTGAGAGAGTTTTCAATATTAGCGCAGAATAAATTATCTCATTCATCAAATTATTCACCTAAAAGAGCAAAGTCCTTCCAACACACGAGACAGCAAGAAGCACTGCTCCTGGGAAAAGGTGAGGATCCATCAAAAGTGAGCCATTTCTTTTTTTGGGGGGTAGAGAGTACTGGGGATTGAACTCAGGGCCACTTGACCACTGAGCCACATCCCTAGCCCTATTTGTATTTTATTTAGAGACAAGGTCTCACTGAGTTGCTTAGCGCCTTGCTTTTGCTGAGGATGGTTTTGAACTGGCGATCCTCCTGCTTCAGTCTCCCAGCCACGAGGATTACAGGTGTGTGCCACCCACGCCTGGCAAAACTGAGCCATTTTCAATGTCATTCAGGGAGAAAAATTTAAGGAAAGAGTGAAAAAAAAAATTCTAAACGTTTATAAAATTCAAAATTTGGCAATTATCGTTAGCTTGCCATAATTCTATTTTTTCCTTTGTCAGGTTTCCAGAAACAAAAGAGTATTACAATTAGAAGAGTGATCATGGCCTTCTGGGCCCTGTTTCCTTTTGAGACTGGAAAAAATGAAGAATGATGTCACTGTTAGCAAATCCTCCAGAACTCTTCAATAAGAGATGACAATTCTTTCCATACCCTTCCTACCAATACTCCAGTACAACCTCCTCCCCAACCCCACCCCCAAGATCTTCCTCCTGATCAAAACCACCCAAATTCCAAGAGCTGAATTGTTTTTGACAACTCCAGTGGCATGATCAAGGCATTATGGGTTAGAGAAACTCAACATCTGAGAATTCTGCGTACCAGGATGTTCCAACAGCCTTCCATACTTGATCTGTATTTATCCTCATAACAATTTATGGGAGAATTACTGCCCTACTTTCACAGCTTGAGGACACTGAGACTCCAAAACATTATTCGCTCACAGTCACATAACTAATGCAAAGCAAACCTTGGATTTGAACCCAGGCACATCATACTAAAAACAACATTGCTTGAACAACATGGAAGTCAAGGATGGTCATCAATTCCCAGGGACCTAGCTAATATCTTCCCTGTTTGTCAAAGTCCTTGCTGATATTCTTAGTAGTCTCCTGCTTCAGAGACTCTGTCCTCAATTAGTAAAGACTTGCCTGTAAGCATCCCCTATTCTTAAGATTTGGAGCTCAAATTCCAAAAGTAACCAATTGTGCCATCCAATTTGTCATTCCCAAATCATCTGTCCCTCCTGGAGCAATAATTGTGTATTAGTAATAAATAAAATGAGCCACGAACCAAGCAGAAATGGGTCTGTAGTTACACTCAGCTGGTTGGACATACGCCGTCGAATGTCAGAATTTTGATCCAAGAGTGTCATCGTGATTTGTTGCCAAGGACATGGCCACTTCAAATAATCATCATTGCCTCCAGAGACCAAGTGGAGATATATCTGTGCATCTGTCGAAGGTTTTAGACTGAATTGAATCTGAAAAGCATAACCTTTAGGAGAATAAAATGGAGGGCTTAATAGAATTCCATTTTCTTTGTCAATGGTCTCTTTGAAATTCCTTATGTGCCACACATGTTCAGGGCACTGTGTTTCCGAAAGATTGATGTCATCAATAGACAGACCACCTGACGATGCACCAGAGCCCCTGAGACCTTCAAACACCACTCTAAATTTGTTGACCATTTTCAGTGGTATGTAGTAAAGTTTCCAGATCCCAATGGGAATTTCTGCAAAAAAAAAAAAAGCCATTATTTCAAAGAAGACAAAGGACTATGCATCACAGGCAAATAAACATTAGAGCTCTAATCTTCCTAGATCATCCAAGAGGTATTGCTTCCTACAGATCAGAGGTATGAGCTCACTTTTCCAGCCCATGATTTCAAGGTATTTCTGTGGAAGTCATACTGTTCTCTAGAATATCTGAATGCATATATAGTTGTTTCTCAGAGAGGTCACCCTTTGCCAGAGGTAGGTAAGCAAGCAGTAGTGTGTGACTCATGAGTTCTCCAAGCCCAACTTATGAATTACCTGCCATTCTCTGGTAGCTAACAGTCAAGCAAGCTCTATACTCAACACCTGTGCCCATGACTTTGTGATATTCAGCCAATGCTGCCTTTAATATTTTTATAGTTTGATTGGTATACCTTCTTTACATGCACAATCATCTTTTCAGCAGTATTTAAAACAGAGATCTACCAAACTCTGGAAGTCCACATCCTACTAGGTACTCCTCAGATCACTGACTAGTGACTTAAATTTGAATTCATACATGTATTGAAAATATTTTTCTGATATTTGGTAGATCACTTCTTGTCTCCCTGTCTGCAATTCCTTCTCAACTCTCATCTTGTACCCCTAGCTAGTTTCTTAAGATCCCTTTGTGTTTGCTTATCAGTGAGTCACTCACGGTTGCTAAGGAGAAGGAGTTCCCTTCAAACCTGGAATTGCATATATATATTAGTATGTAGATTCATATACATATATAATATATATTTGTATTGCATATACGAGACTTCTATACATGGTTTTCATATCTATAATTATATATTGTATTTAATTTCATACATGATGTGTGTGCATACTGTGTACATATTCTTAGTGAGATTAAGAACCACTCTGCTCATAGGTGTTCACAAAGAAAAATAGCCTCTGTATTTCAGATTGTTTCTATTGTTAAGCAGAGGGGAGGAAATGGCATAACACAGCATCATGTGGGTCTATTTCATAATAGGTTTTGCTCAGTTTATCAAACCAAGGGGTCAACCTGCAGAGCACACAGTCATCTGTTTGCCAGTCCACGTTCTGCCCTTCCCTTGCCTTCCCCAGGGAACCATCCTGGCCATCTGCTTTAACAGGTGGTCAACTCAGGGCTGGGTTGAAGGATGAGCACCTGCCTCTGTACTCAGGAAGTTGCATTTAGTCCAAGTCATAACACTCAGCATCCTTTGGTGGAATTTATTTTTTAAGCTGGAAATTAGAGGAGTCCCTTTTCTAGTCAAATGGCACATTGGGGATGAGGCAATATAGGAAACTAAACAGCCTAAGTCCCAGTGTATGAACAAGGCCATTCTGAGATCAAACATAAGGTCCCCAGCAATGTTCAGGGACAGGTCCAGGGGCCCCTGAGGCCAGCTCCTCCCTCATCCATTCTATAGTTCGGTTACAATGAGCTGGCAACCCTTCCCATTGTGCTTAAGCTAGTTATCATTGCACGGTTATTACTTGCCAAGGAATGAACTGCACAATTCCAGAGACCACGTTATATTTCTTTTTTCTTTTTCCTTTTAATTTTCTTTAATTCTAATTTATTATATATGACAGAGGAATGCATTACAATTCATACTACACATATAGAACACAATTTTTCGTATCTCTGGTTGTATACAAAGTAAATTCACACCATTTGTGTCTTCATACATGTATTTTGGATAATGATGTCCATCTCATTCCATCATCATTTCTAACCCCATGCCCCCTCCTTTCCCCTCCAACCCCTTTACCCTATCTAGAGTTCATCTAATTCTCTCTTGTTCCCCTTCCCTACCCCACTATGAATAAACCTCCTTATATCAGAGAAAACATTCATCATTTGGTTTTTTGGGATTAGCTAACTTCACTTAGCATTATATTCTCAAACTCCATCCATTTACCTGAAAATGCCATGATTTTATTCTCTTTTAATGCAGAGTAATATTCCATTGTGTATATATATATATATATATATATATATATATATATATATACCACAGGTGGGTTTTTTTTTTTTTTTTAGTTTTAGGTGGACACAATATCTTTATTTTACATTTATGTGGTGGTGAGGATGGAACCCAGTGCCCAGTGCATGCTAGACAAGCACTCAACCACTGGAGCCACAATCCCAGCCCATATACCACAGTTTTTTTTTTTATCCATTCATCTACTGAAGGGCATCTAGGTTGGTTCCACCATTTAGCTATTGTGAATTGTGCTGCTATAAACATGGATGTGGCCAAGTTTTATTTCTTGAGTGTCACGCAGTACAGCAAAAGCACAGTGGCACATCTCTGTAATCCTAGCAACTCAGGATGCTGAATCAGGAGGATCATAGGTTCAAAATCAGCCTCAGCAACTTAGCGAGGCCTAAGCAACTTAATGAGAGCCTGCCTTCAAGTAAAATATAAAAAAGTGCTAGGGATGTGGCTCAGTGGTTAAGCACCCATGGATTCAATCCCCAGTATCAAAATTGTTTTTTTTTTTTTAAGAGAGAGAGAGAGAGAGAGAGAGAATTTTAATATTTATTTTTTAGTTTTTCGGCAGACACAACATCTTTGTTTGTATGTGGTGCTGAGGATCGAACCTAGGCTGCACGCATGCCAGGCGAGCGCACTACCGCTTGAGCCACATCCCCAGCCCTCAAAATTGTTTTTAAAACTAAAAAATAAAACACAGCAAAGTAGCCTCCCTTTGGCTTCCTTAAGAAACAAAGATCAAGTTGTATTCAAAAAGTAGTGAGTCAGAGAAATTAAGTGCTCCTGGGTTCAATCCCTGGTACCAAAAAAAAAAAAAAAAAAAGATTAAGTAGTGAGTCAGTAACCTCTGCTCTATTAAGTTGCTGCATTAAATAAACAAAGAAATCTGAACCCCCAAAATAAAAATATTAATATTTACCTTTTATTTGTTTCACAAGGATCCGATGACCACTTACATCATCTGCAGTATAATTCCTGACGTATATGTTCAGGTGGTCATTTATACTTCCACTGTTATACAAATAAAATTCCAAGCATTGAAATTCTCTTTTAGGGTACAGCATCCTAGTTTCCATCACTGCTGTGTGCCCCTCACTTACAGAGCTACTGTTAAAATGCATGAAGAAACCAGAACCTGGTATGAGGACAAAAGAATTGAGAAAAAAACAGATGCTGGCTAGAGGAATGTGTGTTTGTTAATAGTGATGTTAGTTAGGTTAGGCGCAATTAGTACCAGTAGGTAAATCCCCAGGGAGAAACTTCAGGAGCCTAAGCTATATCTCTAGTACTCAGAACGCTAACTGACTGACAGAACACAACCCCAATCTATTACTTATAAAAATATTAATTACAATAGTAGCAGTTTGCTTGTGGGAACTGATCTTCACTTATCTTCATTTGCTATGAGCTGTAAAGATAAAGCAAGCTTATGTATAAAACACTAATTTAAAAAAAAATCCAATATAAGCCTTCAGGTCATGCCTAAGAAGCAGGATCAAAAGACAGATATTCTGCAAGGAACATCTTTCAAACATTCTCATCCCTGGCCAAGCTATAAGTGGGAGTAGTTACCATCAGTAAGACAGCATGGAGAGTTGTTCCCCCCTCTGGGAATGTGCAAAAGGGGAATAGAAATTCAGCCCAATGTAGAAGCTTGATTCCTCAGAAAACTTGGAATGGAACCACCATTTGACCCAGTTATTCCACTCCTTGGCATATACCCCAAGGACTTAAAATCAGCCTACTACAGTGATGCAGCCACATCAATGTTTACAGCAGCTCAATTCACAATAGCTAAGCTATGGAACCAACCTAGGTGACCTTCAACAGAAGAATGGATAAAGAAAATGTGGTATATATACACAATGGACTATTACTCAGCCTTAAAGAGGATTGAAATTATGACATTTGCTGGTAAACCGATGGAACTGGAAATGATCATGCTAAATGAAATAAGCCAATCTCAAACAAACAAAAGCCAAATGTTTTCTCTGATTAGTGGATGTTGAGTCACAGTAGGTGGGAGGGGGGAGAAGGGAAGGTTCACTGGCTTGTGGGGGTGGGGGGTAGTGAGGGGAAGTGTAGAGGGATGGGAATGGGAAAGACAGTAGAATGAATCAGACATAACTTTCCTATGTTCATATATAAATACATGACCATCATGTGCAACCGCAAAAATGGGAAGTTATACTCCATGTATGTATGATCTGTCAAAATACATTCTACTGTGATGTATAACTAAAAAGAACAAATAAAAAAAAATTTTAAAGTAGGGCTTGAAACCCAGGTAGGTAGAAAGCCATAGTATCTGTGTGTCCCCAGGCTAACTCAAGGTGCAGCTGTGAGTGCTTTAGGAGAAGTGAGCCTACTATGTGGGCAGGAGAGAGGGGCAGCCCAGAAACTAGAAAGAAAAATGTTCTCAGAGTGTAAAAGCAAAGATATCACCCATGTCCTTATAATGCACAAAGCTCATTCCTTTRTAGCAACCAAATGGATTATCATTAATAATTCTGACAGAAATGAAAGATAAAATCCCAGGGTTTCATAGTAAAAGGAAAAGGGGGTGGGGCACTGAACATAATATCTAGAAGTCCCTCAGTCCTGTTACCTTTACACTTTCCCATGTTGGAATAATCAGTCTTTGGACCCCCAGAAACATTTGAAACTCGCTTCCAGTCAGTCTTATCTTCTGAACTTTGTATCATTCCACATATGTTTTCCAGTTCAAAATTGCATGAGTCCATAAAACTCAAGGAAGAGGCTGCAAACAAAAAAAAAATTATTAACAAAGCATCATAATCTAAGTAATAAAAAAAAACTGAGCTTATCACAGAAGTCTGAGGAAGGTTTAGAAGGTCATCATTAAGGGGAACACCTAGCTGATCTGAGCTAGAGACCCCTCCTCTGTGGATCAGCATACATAGGCTGCACTGTCTTTTTTTTTTAAGATTTCTTTTTAAGGGGCTGGGGTTGTGGCTCAGTAGGAGAGCACTTGCCTCGCATGTGTGAGGCACGGGGTTCAATCCTCAGATCCACATAAAAATAAATAAAGAAAATAAAGGTACTGTGTCCATCTATAACTAAAAAAAAAAAATTTAAAAAGATTTCTTTTTAAGATGGACACAATATTTATTTATTTATTTTATTTACTTTTATGTGGCCTCGAGGATCGAACCCAGTGCTTCACACACGTGAGGCAAGTGATCTACTGCTAAGCTATAACCCCAGCCCTGTATTGTCTTTTATTTTCTTCTAATTATCTATTTGTAGAAACCGAGTCTACACTCCCCTTGTTATTCAAGTCATTAAGCCACAYGACCCAGATTATTTGATCCTGTTTATATTACAAATGTGTACCCCATTTTAGCTGAAAAGAGGTTTGAATATCAAATTGGGTCCATGTCTGAATTAGGAACAGATTCAAAACCCTGCCTGAGGTGGATTCCTAAAAGGACTCAAGCTGTTTTTAAGAACTCAAAGGCAGAGCTGGGGTTGTGGCTCAGCGGTAGAGCGCTTGCCTACCATAGGCAAGGCCCTGAGTTTGATCCTCAGCACCACATAAAAATAAATAAACAAAATAAAGGTATTGTGTCCAATTACAAATTAAAAATTAAAAAAAAAAAAGAACTCAAAGACAGACCTTGAGAGAAGAAAAATGTTACAACTGAGTGGGAAACTGGGATCTGGGTGCTACTTTGTTTTTCTGAAAGTCAAACATATATATTCTCAGAAACCCCCAATGGAACAGACCATCATTTTCTTCCACACAGCAGAGGGAAATACAACACATTTCAAAGAACTTGTCACATACAGCAGTTATATAGTCGATTCAACTTTTGGAGATCATAGTCGCTGAAATCCATGCGTTGGCCAATCAGATCCTCAAAGCCTGCCATCTTTGTTATAATTGTAGGGTCTTCTCCACTTTTGAATGCAATTTTACTGTAGTGCATTACAGAAAAGTAATCGTAGGGAACATTCAGGAAATCGGATTCTTTGTCATTATGAATATTAAAATTGTGCTCTCGACCTAAGTGGTACATAAAAAAAATCTTTGATTACTTGATGTTCATAAAACCAATGTATCTTCTCTACACACTGTTCACTTAGAGAAGGAGAATAAAATATAGCAAACTTTTATGCARAGGATCTATTGTACCTTGAGTGTTTAACATCTTCCTATCTTAGAATATAATATTCACACTTGGAATTGTGATTCCAGCAATCACACTAAATATATCTAAGATTCCATGTCCCGARTTGGAATATGCGGGCCTGATCCAAGGCTCTAAAAAGTGGTGACGAAACAGTCAGGATTATGGGCCAGCCAGGGCAGAAGTTTAAGTTTCATCAATTTGGAGAAAAAATTAAGAGGACTTTGGGAAGGGTGGTTCAAATGGGACCTGGGAATAATATAGACAAGAATCATTAGAAAAAGGATTGACATGGTCAGAGACGTTTTCCAGGATTGCTGGAATATTTGTAGATACGTCTAAATCATGGTGACAACAGTTAATAATAATTTATTTTATATTTCTAAATTGCTAAGAATAGTTTTAAAATGTCTTATAAAAACACCAAGTGAGATGATAGACATGCTAATTAGTCTGTTTTAATCGTTCCTCATTGAGTACATATATCAAAATGACATTTTGTAGCTCATAGGTGCATTCAGTTACAATTTATCAATTAAAAATATTCATTTGGGGGGTGCTGGGGAGTGACATTTGTCAAGTTATATTATCATATTGCACACATGTATGAATATGTTATCAACATATCCCATCATTATGTACAACTCTAATGCACCAATAAAAAAATAAGGAAAGGAAAAAAATATTCATTTTTGGCCACAGTGGAAGATGCTTGTAATACCAGCTATTCAGGAGGCTGAGGCAGGAGGATCACTAATTCAAGACCAGCCTAGGCCACTTAGGGAGACCCTATCTCAAAAATAAAAATAAAATAAAATAAAAATGGCTGAGGCTGTAGTACAGTGGTACAGCCTGCTGGATTCAACCCCTAGTACTGAAAGTAAATATTTTTTTTTAACTAAAATGAATATATTTAAAGAAGATACCTCGCAASTCAGCATCACAGTCAAGGGCAATTGATCAGAACTTGAAATCAGGTGATTTTGTGGATATAATGAGGTGTGCCTTATTTCCAAAGATATATAGATGTCTTATCAAATATGGGCAGAAGTTCCTATCCAAAATAAAACTGTGAGAATACTAAAGAGTGAGGTCATAGATTAAAACACTTCGTTTGCTCTAGAAATCTCTTAGTTTGCAGCCAGGCAATCAAATAACTAACTGCAYATTTAATTTCTTTTCACCGGAACTAGTTTGAATTCAGACTCCTTCCCATTGGACACGTGTAAGAATATGTGGGACTGTATCCCATAGAACATGTCTTGAGAAACACTAGTTTCTATGTTATATACAGCTCTAAATCACAGTTCTGTGATTCCTGTATGGTAGCACCCAACGACTTTTAAGGTACTTCAGATTACACTGTGTTAGAGGATAAATCAAGCAAGGCAGCAAGATGTCAGTTTTTCAATTATTAACCATTGGCATTAACATTTTTAGTCTAAAAATGTAAAGAGAGAGAGAGAGAGAGAGAGAGAGAAAAGAAATGTACCTGGTTTAATTCTGTTCCACATTATCTGGATATAGTCATCCCGATCAGAACGAGACTGCTCATGCCAGAATCCCAGCGAGTGTAAGAGCTCATGCTGCACGGTTCCTATCCTGTCACAATTGTTCCCAATGGAAAGTTCCTGCCTCCCCTCATGTCTGTTTCCTATCGAGGACCAGCAGCTTAGGAGAGTTTACAGGAGAGGGGGAAGTGTTACAGAGATGCACACTGAGGTCTTCAGGAGAATGCCCACCCCCTGGCCCTTCCCTAGATTGAGACACTGTGCATTTCTCTCACAATCCTGGTGAGGCATGAAAAACCTCGCAGGCCAGAGATCTTTAGAGAACTTGCCCTAATGCTACATATTAACATAGGAGCAAGTGATTCCCCAGGCAGCTTGGTCCTGATATTCCTGGAAGTTTCAGTCTATGAGATCATCCTAGGTATGCCTGTGCCCATTTACAAGAGCTTTCCCAGGCACAGCAACCACTCAGAATGCTGAGCTCCAAGCAAAGATGCTCCCACGTTCTTAGGTTAAGAATAATTTTTAGGTTAAAATTAAGTTAAATACACACAGGCACACAAAAGTGTTTTTATTTAAGAGGGAATAAAGATTACATTTCAATTACAAATGGGTGGAAATCCACRAGGTTGTGGAATAGATGACATTCAGTCACATTCATTTTAACATTGAAAGTCTGGTTGAATGTGTGAAAACATTATTTTTATGCCAGGGAAACTAGACCTAGCTGTCTTGCTCTGCAACCAACAGCAAAAGAAGCCATGGCCCTACCCTAATGGTCAGGGCCTTGGGCAGTTACTGTGAGGCGATTCCCTAGGAGAACCCCTAGTAACCCTCCACTTACCCAGTGCCCTTGAAAAATGCTATATAGTTATCTTCCCCAGACCAAGGCTTGAAGTCAAGGCAAGTTTTCAGGCGATAGCGATCAAATGCCTGGAGGATAACCGCTTTAGCATTCACACCTGAAGGAAAACCAAGGGAGAGGAGTAGAAAGGGACCAGGGTATGAGAGGAAGGGGGAGGAGGAGTGCTGGGGAGTGACACTGGCCAAATTAGATTATTAAATCGCGTGCATGTGCAAAGATGTAACAACAGATCCTATCACTAGGTACAACTCTAATGCACCCATAAAAAATGTAGAAAGAAAAAAAATAAACAAGTAAAAAGAAAAATACACATATTAAAATAATCGCCTTTGAACAATTCACCATGGAAATAGACTATGTACTCTATTGACTATCATGAGTTAGTTCCTTCAAGAATTTCCAACATTTTGTTTTTATAAAATTTAGTATACAGTACCAATTAAGTACTCTATTCAAGTATTTGATTATTCTTCAGAATCCTTACTTTGCCTTATATTTTTCTGGAGTCCATTAGCAGTGCATTACTAAACAATAGGAAGGGTGTTTCTTTATCTCAGAGGATATACAACATAGATCAAAATCAACAGTCAACCAGCTGTCCCTTTCCTCAGTCTATACTCAAAGGACTTAAAAACAGCATACTACAGGGACACAGCAACATCCATGTTTACAGCAGCACAATTCACAATAGCTAAACTGTGGAACCAACCTAGATGCCCTTCAGTAGATGAATGGATAAAGAAACTGTGGTATATATACATAGTAGAATATTACTCAGCAGTAAAAGAGAATAAAATCATGGCATTTGCAGGTAAATGGATGGAGTTAGAGAAGATAATGCTAAGTGAAGTTAGCCAATCCCCAAACACCAAATGCCAGATGTTTTCTTTGATATAAGGAAGCTGATTCATAGTGGAATAGGGAGAGGGAGCCTGGGAGAAATAGACGAACTCTAGATAGGGCAGAGGGGTTGGAGGGGAAGGGAGGGGGAATGGAGTAATTAATAATGGTGGAATGTGATGATCATTACTATCCAAAGTACATGTATGAAGACACAAATCAGTGTGAATATACTTTATATACAACCAGAGATATGAAAAATGGTACTCTATACGTGTAATATGAATTGTAATGCATTCTGCTGTCATATATAACAAAGTAGAATAAAAAATAAATTTGGGGCTGGGGATGTAGCTCAAGCGGTAACACACTCGCCTGGCATGCACGGAGCGCTGGGTTGATCCTCAGCACCACATAAAAATAAAATAAAGATGTTGTGTCCACCGAAAACTAAAAATAAATATTAAAAAATTCTCTCTCTCTCTCTCTCTCTCTCTCTCTCTCTCTCTAAAAAAAAAAAAAAACAAAGCAACAGTCAAGCCAGGCGCTGTGGCGCATGCTTGTAATCCCAGCTGCTCGAAAGGCTGAGGCAGGAGGATTTTGAGTTCAAAGCCAGCCTCAGCAAAAGCAAGGCGCTAAGCAACTCAGCAAGACCCTGTCTGTAAATAAAATATAAAATAGGGCTGAGGATGTGGCTCCGTGACCAAGTGCCCCTGAATTCAATCCCCACTACCCGCCTCCTCCACAAAAAAAATGAACAATGTTACTTGCTTTATCTAAGGAACTACCATTTATATTTAAAGGCCCCAGCAGAGTTTTTAATCCAAGGACCTTGAGAAGGGAAGGTCCATAAAATAGCAATGCAAAGTAAATGTATCTTTTCCTCTATCTGTACCTGCAAACTAGATTCTCTAAGGAGAGCTTTTGAGAGGTTTGCAACCAAGTCCATGACCAAAATGGAGTTAAGAACTATTAGGAGGTGAAAATGGTGCTCATGGGTTAGAGAGATATAAAGCTCAAAGAAGGCAGACACATTAAAGCAACAAAATATAGAGGGAAAAAAAACCTTTGAGGGTGACCAGAAAGGAGGGTCAGGCACTGCTTAAGTGAAGAATGGTGGCCTGCCTGGAGGTAGTAGTGGAGAACAGGAAATGCTAGGACCCCAGGGCCAGACATAACAAGTTCTCATGTGTCTTCACCTAACTTCTGACCTATAACCTTTGCTAATTTAATTACTCTTAAGAGCTTTGCTGTTATCATCAGTTTAGTGAAGAAATAAAATCAACTTTGCAATGTTACTGTGAGCATAAGAAGAGATAGAAAGATGAAGTTCCAAATAAAGGAAGTTCCTTCCTACATAACTTTTGTATACCCTGTCAAGGAGGATGACCTGCAACACCTCTGTCCAAGCTGAATTAAATACAAGTATATGATTGTCATTGGTAAGGCCTCAAAATCCATAAATCATAACAGGCCCTCAGAGTTGAACCATTTACAATACCACATAAGTAATGCACGTTTACTGTGAAAACATTGGAAAAGGCATTAAAAACAAAAAGAAGGGAATTTAAAATCCTATCACTGAGAAATAATCACCCTTACCATACTTTTTGCTTATGGTACATACAGAGCACACATGTGTTTTTATAAAAAAATGAAAATTACAGTCTATATAATATTATATGAACTATTGTTTACTAAATAATATACCATTAAATCTTTATCATTATCTTAATGACTGCATGAATAGCTACAAAAGGTATAGTAATTTCTTGTCAAATGTTTAAATCATTTCAAAATATTCTGTACTATAGCTGGGTAGGGTGGCATACTCCTGTAATCCCAGCAGCTCAGAAGGCTGAGGCAGGAGGATCAAGAGTTCAAAGCCATATTCTCTACGGAGAGCAATTTAGTGAGGTCCTAAGCAACTCAGCAAGATCCTGTCTCTAAATAATACACACACACACACACACACACACACACACACATATATATATATATATATATATAGAGAGAGAGAGAGAGAGAGAGAGAGAGAGAGAGAAAGGGCTGGGGATATGTCTCAGTGGTTAAGCACCCCTGGGTTCAATTCCTGGTACCAAAAACTAACTAACTAAATAAAGAAATAAAGAAATAAAATGTTCTGAACTAAAAATATCACATTTGTATCACTATTTCAAATCAAACTTTTTCTTAAAATAAGCCTGGATTAAACCAACCACAACATCACCATTTTAGTATAGAAAGTAAGCAGGACTTGCTAATCTAAGCCTTTCATCAAAATTGATGAGAATTTCCACCCATAATTGGACTGTTTTGAAAATGCAATATGTGAGAACACATGAGAGTAGTATTAGCAGGAAAGACCTCTACCACGATAAGATGTTCATTTGCCATATGCCTGTCCTACCACAAGCCTTTATTGATTGCATCATGGATGTAGAAAAGCTCCACCAGGATCATGTCATAAAAGTCCCTTGGCTCCCAAAAAAGGAGGGAAAGGAAAGATACTGGGAAATGAGGTTGGCTAAATTATGTTTGGGGCATGTATGAATATGGCATAATGTATCACACTATTATATTTGATCATAATGTACTAATTTAAAACTACAACAACCACCTTGGCTCCCAAGGAAAAGGGTAAGTCCCTGAAAATCCTAGGATTTCAGCCAGCAGTTATTCAGGATTATCATCCCCTCTTTGGTCTCTTCAGGTTCAGACCCCCTTCCACTTCATTTTCACACTCACTTAATTCACATCTAGCCTCCACCCCATAAGATTTTTCCCAAAAACTGAGCACTCAGGCAAGGAATTGTAACTTACTCACTAGAAGCTAGAAATGGATGCTCCAAGTGTTACCCCTTTCAGAGGGACCACATCTACCAGCCAGACCACAGCTGAAGTTTCATCTACAGCCCTACTATACAATTTCTTAGGTAGGCCTACGAGAGCCTGAGAAAGAGGACTTTCCAGAAGTCATTCCTGAACACCTTTCACGGTGTTCATTTTGGCTTCATGTGAGAGTGGCCTTTCTCAGTAATTTCCTTGGTCTGAGTTACTTGAAAATGGTACACATTTCTGAAATATGAGGAAACACTTCTCTTATTCTGAACGCAGAAAATAAATTTGATTCTACCATATTACATGGAGATAAAGTACTTTCTAAATAAGAATCAAAATCACATAATTGAAAATAAAAATTGACCTACAAAAATTTGAAGTTTCATTCTGTTAAAAAGATTATGTAACATGAAAAAAAATGTAATAATACAAAATGAAAAAAGCAGAACAAAAACCTTAAAACATCATGATTAGAACTATGTAAAATGTGCACATTTTGGATCTAGGCTGAATTTTCAACCTATTACCTATTATATTATTCAGATAATATGTTTATTTATTTATTTTTAAAATATTTAACTGCCTATAATATGCCCTCAGATTCATAAGATGAAAAATAGCTCCTACCTGCAAGACATTTTTCATATTGTTTATAATGTTACTTAAAAATAGATATTTAGGCATGATTGGAATACTTGCAAAAATAGACTAAGTGATATAATCAGATTAAAGTGCACTTGTCTTTCATTAATTTGAATATATTAGGAAAATATTTCTAAAGATATATATAAAAATTAAATATAAAAGTTCTTCAAATTTTTTTTTAAAAATCCTTTAAGTGTTTCAGATTTTCCCCAACTCCAAAAGTCAACGAACATCTTTCTTTCCTCATATTCCATGAGTTCTGAGAGCTTCTAACACTGTTAATTATTCCTGCCTTGGCTTTCTCTAGCCCACTGCGTTTTTTATACACATTTAAGGCCAGTCCTCCTTTCTCAATAACTTTGATCAGATCTTGCTCCTGTATCAATTCCAAAGTTGTTCTCCCAGGTTGAGTTCCATCTTTGGCTCTCCTCTCACTCAACACAATCTTTCTGGATCGCTCAGTATAATCCAGTTATCTGTGAAGTGTCAGTTATTGACAAGACACTGTGAGAGACACTCATTCACACCCATGGCTTCAACTATCTCTTATGTCCTAATGATTCCCAAATATTTCTGTATCTTTAATGATCAGACCACCCATCAACATTTTATTTGATATCACTACCACAAGTTAGAGATGCAATTTAAATTCTGTATGCCAACAAATAACTTCCAGAAAACTAACCTATCCTCTTTAAGATATATTCTCTAGTCTTGGAATGAAGGGAAGGGAGGGGAAATGGGAGTGGGAACGGCAGTAGAATGAATTGGATGTGACTTTCCTATGTTCGTCTATGAATACATGACCAGTGTAACTCCACATCATGTACAGCCACAAGAATGGGATTCTAATTAGAATCAGTTATACTCCCTGTATGGATAATATGTCAAAATATACTCTACTGTCATGTATATCTAAAAAGAATAAGTAAATAGATATTTTTAAAAGAATTTTTAAAAAGATATATTCCCCATTCTTATTAAAGGCACTACCCAGTTGACTAAGATCCAATCTTTACTAACCATCTTCTTGACTCTCATAGTCAATCACCAAAGCTGACAGTGGCCTCCTAAGTCTCTTCTAGATTTATCCACTCTTTTCTATCTCCTGGAGATAGTCTTGGTTCAGAATCTCTTCATTTCTTCCCTGAATTTCTTTGATAGTCTTCTAAATGATCTCCTTCTGTCTTTTTGCCCCACTAATAACATCTTTATACTGTAACCAGAGTAATTATTATAAAATGATGACTCTCTTACCTTCACAATAAAAAAAAAAACAACTTTTTTTTTTTTTTTGCTCTACCTTACCATCAGTATACACACCAAGGTGTCTTATACCAAGATTCAAGTTCTTCCTAATCTGTGTCACAACTATTTGCTGTCATTAGTTTTACAATCCCAATTTGAATTCCAAGTAGGAGTTTTCTCCCATCTCCATCAATTTCTTCCAGAATTTTTGGAATTAATACAGAAGAAAGATCTAATCCCTTTGCACATACTGGGCCACCTGCCTAAAGTACCCTTCTCTTGCTATCAGAGGCCCTACTAGCCCAGTTGGGGTCAACTGGAAAGGGACTCCTCATCTGGACAGATGCGGTGCTGCAAGTGCTGGATGGCCAGGTGGGTGAACAACCTGTTCATTCAAAGAAACAAACGTCTCCTGATGAACAGAACACAAACCTGGCACCATCCCACCTCTCCCTCTTCCAAGCACAAATGTATGGGGTACAATCTGCAGGACCTTCACCACAGCCCTGCTACATACTGTCATCTTCTCCTGACTGCATATGCCTTTATGTCTAGGTTGAGTGAAATTTCCTCCAATGTGCCCTCAGAGCTCTTTGAACATATCACTAACCATAATGCTTTTTCTATTTTAATTAAATTTTGATTTATCTGAATCTCAACTGAAATGCGTAACCTTTAAGGAAACATCATTTTTTCCCCCCAACGTTTTCTCAAAGAGCCATATCTAAACTGATCCTGGTCAATAAACATCACAGTCACCAGTCCACAGGTAAAATGAGGACAATGTGTGGGTTTTTTTTTTTTTTTATCACAACTGGATACAAAAAGCTGTCTGTAGCTGGTCACAGCATGTGCACACCTGTAATCCCAGCAGCTCAGGAAGATGAGGCAAGAGTATCGCAAGTTCAAAGCCGGCCTCAGCAACTTGGTGAGACCCTAAGCAACTTAGCAAGACCTTGTCTCTAAATAAAATATAAAAAGGGTTGGAGATGTGGCTCGGTGGTTAAGCAGCCCTGGATTGTTCCATCCCAGGTACCCTAAATAAATAAATACATAAAAGCTTTCCTTAGTTTTGCATTAGGTTTTTCTGACTTTTTAGTGACCTAACACTGAACTAATAATGTTATTTGTTTTATGGAAACACAATGATAAAAGATAGTGTGTTCTTGTTAATCCCTGTCTTGGCAAAATAAAATGTTGGTAAAACAATGTCGTCATTAAAGTTTTAGTTGGTTGGTTATTTATGCTTTTTACTCATATTTAAAACTTGAACATATGAGAAACTAATGCCTTAAAATACAAAGTATGTTCCTAAATTTTATACCCCTAGTATCCAATAACATTTAAGCTCTGCATAAATGTTGGTTGAATTGATCCCAATATTAATCAAAACACGTCAAATTTCAGGCTGAATCACTTAGAGTTTTTTCAGTGTTCATTTGCTTCCTTTTTAAAGTAAATGCACACAGCTCACAGACAAACAAAGACACAAAACCTTGAATGCCACACGAGCCTACCCTTATATATGTTGTCATCGTGTTCTGTGAGGAACATGGATTAGCTATGGACACTCTGAGGTGCATACTAACCCAAGCTATCCTCTAGAACATATGGAACGACGTGAGGCCATCTGTATTTATCTCCAATAATAGAATTTCTGTCTTGTGCCTGTCAGAAATAGATGTGAAAGGGTTAGTTAAGTGAATTAGGGGGAAAATGATCAATAGTTAATCTAGAAATAAATGAAGTTTAAAGCTCTCCCAGCTAGCCCCCAAAAATTGTGTATGTACTCCTACTTTTATCATAATATAATGAAGTTTGTAGAAAAAAGTGACTAATTCCTATCATTTTGTTCATAAAGTTGACAGAGAACTATCACTGCCCAGCATGGTGGTGCATGCCTGTAATCACAGCGACTGGGGAGGCTGAGGTAGAAGGATCATAAGTTTGAGGCCAGCCTTAGCAACTTAGTGAGACACTAACACAAAATAAATCAATCAATAAAAAGGGCTAGGGATGTAGGTCAGTGGTAAAGTGCTCCTGGATTAAATCCCCAGGTCCCAGTGAAAGAAAGAAAGAAGGAAGGAAGGAAGGAAGGAAGGAAGGAAGGAAGGAAGGAAGGAAGGAAGGAAGGAAGGAAGGAGAAAAGAAAGTTTTAAAAAAGAAATATATAAAAATGAAATGAGAACAAAACCTCAAAAACCTGAATTTCACAACATCAGAAAAAGTCACATGTGAGCTGAGCCAGTCTTCAAAATTTTGTAATGATTTTAAATTTTATAATAGAAAACAAAAATATTTTCTTCATGTATCCATCCAGCCAATACATCAAATATTATTCCCTTTGTAAGAAGTACACCAAGGTCTCCAACTTCATTACACCCAGAGGGGAAGGCAGTATGCGAGAGCTGAGCAGGTGACACAGATGTGTAACCCCAGCTGCAGATGAGCAGTGTTTCTGGGGTGCAGGASGTGATGGAGTAGGTCTGAAGGAAGAGCAGAATTTTCCTGAAAAAATCTACTGGATAATTTCTAGGTCAAAGGGTACAAGTATTCTAAATCATGATGGCTCTTGTCAAGTTGTCTGTCTTTTTGTTAGGGTTGTATATAAAAACATTTGATAAAACCAGTCATAAATAAGCATCTCTTTTTCTATCATCACCAAATGGATAGTAAGGTAAAAAAAATCTCCATGAATCTGGTGGACAATAAATTATATCATTTTTTAAAATTTTCTTTTTTTTAAATTGTTGATGGACCTAATTTTATTTATTTATATGTGATGCTGAGAATCAAACCTATTGCCTCACATATGCCAGGCAAGCGCTCTAGAATTGAGCTACAACCTCAGCCTCATAAATTGTATCTTGTCTTTAAAAAATAGTGCTTGTAGTTCATACAGATATAGGTAGCATGGATTCAAAACTGGAAATATTTTTTTTAAAAAAAGAGTCGGGGACAGGAGGTATTAAAATTCTCTGAGCAGACACATACACACATTTCAAAATAAAATGTTTATGCATTAAAAAAAAGTACTATTGGGCAGGGGTTGTAGCTCAGCTGTACAGGGCTTGAATAGCACATGCGAAGCCCTAGGTTCAGTCCTCATTACAACTTAAAAATAAATAAATAATAAAGTATTTTTTAAAACTACTATTAAAATAAGATGTTTATATCTTCATGAAAAAAATAGTGCTTGTAATAGGGAACTTTGAAGTCCCTATAAATTTAGATAAAATCTACACGTGCGGCATGATGGCTAGATAAGAATCAGCAGTGCTCTGTGGGAACAGGTTTGGGACAACTTTTACTTGGGAACATTATTTTTAGCTGAAAGATCATCAAGTCTATTTCTTATGGCAAAAATCCCAACTCATTGAAGAGGTTCACAAATATACTTAATTTGCTTCAACTAGATTGAATCAATGGAATAATACATCAAAATGAAAATCTCCCACATTGCTCCAAAAATGAAAAGCAGTCAGACCAAAAAGATCAAGATATCCATGGTGGAGTGATGGTGACTTTAACCACA